CTAACTACTATACGACTTATTCTCACCTACGCATCACCTGCTTGGTATGCGGCCAAGCCAGCCGACATCAACAAGCTTCAGGTGGTTCAAAACAAATTTCTCTGTATTGCTACGAATGCTCCTTACTACGTAAGGAACTCTGTACTTCACAGTGATCTTCGAATTGAACCCTTGAGAGAATATCTCCATAGGAGTAACGAAAACTTCTACCATAAAGCTCTCGATTGTGAACATTTAAATTATTTCCAGATCTTCAACTATATCATCCTCCTAGAGGATCAATATCTGCGACCTTCCGCAGCTTTTTATTTAAATTCTGACCAAAACTACCCAACGTAGATTGTGCTTCTAAAACCAAGCAGCATTCACCGGAGTCACAGCTCGGGAGGGCGACCTCCCACGTGAGTATGGACTTCGTGTTTTCTTTATCTCTCTTCTGCTTATCTTATATCTGCAAGCCATGCAATGTTTTCTTTGTATATACCTGTAAATATTTATTGCTGTTCAATCTCATGAATTTTCAAGTGCGAAATCCTTCTTTGACATGGCTCTAATTCGGACTATCTATCTAAAATGCATCCTGGCATCTGGGCGTGCCTACGGCTGATGAACTTTAACTACTAAGCTCCGCCCACAGCTCTTGAAATTTGGAATCACAGCACTTTTATGAACTCTGTGTGTAAAATTATCGCGGTATTCACTTATCAGGGCTATTACAGTTATAAGAAAAATATGTTTTCATATTTCTACACGGCAAATAATTTTCTTAAAAAATATACTTTTACTATGTTTTCTGCCCTAGCCAATGGCATGTACTCTCGGACATCACATGACATGGCTCTACTTTGGACTATCTTCTCTATGTAAATATTGTAAATACTTGTATATCTTACATTTATTCAAGACTCATTATTCGGTACTTTCGTTTGAAAAACTATGTTTTTGCTATTTAATTTTATGTTAGTAATTTCTTTATGTTTGCATACTCCACTTGTATTTGAATTGCATGTTACACCACCCCACGATATAATGCTCCGCAGTGGCAAAGTCCCACCTTTTTCTTTATTTTTCATATTTTGTCTCTGTGACACCTTCACTGATATTTTTACCTCCAGGATGCCATATTTAAAAACAACTGGCAATAGGGACGAACCAAGGGTTGCTTTATTCTTATTTTGTTTTAGCGACTGTTGGCTGAGGGAGAAAAGAGTATATCATTCGTCCTCAAGACAACCCTACGGAAAACTGGTCAAGGTTCGTTTCTACGGCAACAGACAGCTGCAGACTAACTGGCGAGAGCTTTTCTTATGATAGACATACTGTACATTTTCTTTGCTGGAGGCTTTGTGAATCAGCTTTTATCATTTAGGTCCTGTCAGTGCATAACACGAGCGGTGAGACGCGAATCAGCCGAGTATTCTCATGAGGCCTCTCTCATACAACTATGAAGTATTTCCAGTTGTTAAGTTTGAAAATTTTACATCGTTTAAAATGTATTTAATATAATTTTTAATTTTTTATTTTTTAATTATTAGCATAAGAGATCTCAAATAAATTTCTCTGGAAATAAGGCCGATATTTTTTCCGCAAAAACATGTTTATTGTATTCAGTAAGTAGATTCGTAGACATAGCGAAATTAAAAGTACTGCTTGGAGGAAATTCCTACCCTGTTATACAAACGACCGAATAAAATAAAGAAATATGTATGTCTTCAATAATTTCGTTTTTTTCTTAATATTTAAATCCTTCTTTTCCCGTAAAGATTTAACTCAGTTTTCAAAATCTAATTCTTTTTCATGTTTCGAATAACTAAATCTTTTTGTGTTGAATAATTAAGTCTATCTTTCTCAGTTCATTTGAAAAATAATAGTTTATGCTACACTTTTTTAATTTTGGGAGAAACAGTTTTTCTACTTTTAACTCCCTCGTAACCGCTTAGACATAAAATTGTTTCAGATATTCAACAAACATCTCCAATTCTAAGCCAGACCACAGTTTCTTTTTAATATTGTAATTTTTATGCATGATAAAATGTTTGAAATCCTTTTAAATACTGATGGTAAATTTTCATATGGCTAGACTGTAACCTGAACTAAGTAAGTATTAGTAGTAATAAATATTGTTCTGAAAACTCAACTGTAATACAAATTCAAATGAAAAAGGCTTCCTTTATTAGCGTTTTAATCGAAGGAGCAATTTATATATAATTTATGAAAAAATATCAGTAATAACAACTGAAAAATAATGTTTTCAGAAAATAATTATAATCAAAGAATTTGTTCCACCAATAGTCGAGTGGACAAGGGCGCTGAACACGAACAGCTCGAACCCGGTTCCATTTGGATGAGGCCCACCAGCGGCCGAGCGGTAAAGTCGCTGAACACTGGTAGTTCGGTCCGAGGTTCGAATCCCGCGAACGGGCTGGCTGCATGGGCGTTTTCGTGGTTTTCCCCATGTGTAACGTGTATACGAGCCAGTTTCCCTTAGAAAGTCCTCCACGAAAGGCATCCCTCCCCTTAGGCAGATAGCCCTCGTGTGCTTTGCCATAATTAAATACACACCACACAAATACACACCATTTGGATGAGAATGAGCGTGAATGAACATTTTCGTGTGAATATGAACCAAGTATCCTAAGAACATCCTCCAAAAAGAAATCACTTCTATTAATCAAACAACACGTTGTTTTGTCATACTAAATAAAACAAATGTGATAGAATGATTCTCTCTCTCCTTTTTTTTACAGAAAGCGAGAGAAAATATTCCTGATATACGTGAAAATTTCGTTTTAACATGGATATATCAACAGAATATGAAGAAACTGAAGGCGAAGGTTAATAAATTCGAATTTTAATAATGAATTGATAAAACAATACAGTTTAAAAATTATTTTTCACAGATGAAATAAAAGAAATGATGGTTATTTTAATTTCACGATTTAAATGCAGACAGGAAAAATAAATCAGATTGCATCCAGTTTTTAAAATCTACTTAGTTAAACTTTAATGACATTGGATTTAGGTATTTTAAAAGAAACATCTCATGATTTAAGATTTAAATATGCAAATGACGAAAAATCCTCTAAATACTTCATCAAAAATATCTAGTTTTAAAGACTATATTTTTGCATTTGTTGTGACAATTCTGGTCACTAAAGTAGATTGGTCCCTTCGAGCATGATTCAGGAATATAAAGTAGTTCAAACGTATGCAGATTTAAAAACTGCCTTCATAATATTTTAAAATTGTCAATTATTATTATTAGAGCTTAAGAACCTAAAACAATAATAATAAAAAAACATGTAAACATCTTGCTAGGTTTAAAAATATCTCTCAAACACGGCTGGTTTTTTTTCCTATATTTGCGTGATATTTGTACGTAAGAAGAGAATAAAAGACTCGTTTCCTCCAAAATAAATTATAAAACTACTTTATAATGAATTTTGAAGAAAATTTTTCTTGGCGTCTGTATGAACGTATGTACGTACGTATCTCGCATAACTCAAAAACGGGTAGCCTCAGAACGTTGAAATTTTGAATATAGGACTGCTAATACATGTAGATGTGCACCTCGTATTTTGGTTGCAATCGGCCGCACCAAAAGTGTATAAATATATTTATGTATATATATCCACTCTGTTACCCGGCTCAGTGATCTCAGTTTCTTTACTCTTATATGTTTGTAAATTTTGTACATTTTTTGCTTTAAAAAAATGATTGGAATTCTGTTGTTCTTATCTTTCGGTTAAGGTTTTTATGCCTTTAGTAAATCTGTCTGCAATATGTTTAGAATTATCAACAATTTGAAAGTTGTTTATGTGCCGATAAGCCTTTTTTTGATGTCGGCCATTGATTGTTTACATTTGAAACAGCATAATTGTAGATTTGTTGCCAATCTAGAGAAACTTAGCTTCGCAACAACAAACATAACGCCTTCATTTATTATTGCGAATTAAATCATGCTTAATCCTTTCTGGAATGTTTTCGAGGAAATAAGAGTTTAAGATTTGCTTCGTAATTTTTAATATAGATATTTTGAGTTTTTATGTATTTTTGCCTTCTCGCGAAGTGAGAACTGAATTAATTGAATGAGAAATACTCAATCGTCTGTGAAAAAGTGTTTCTTTTTTGTTTTGTGTGCTTAATTTCTTTTACACATCGTTCTAGCTTTATTATAGTATTTGAATAGAACATGTGGCAACGATTAGATAATTCTATTCTTTAAATGATATAAATTTTGTGCATTATGAGTTATAATATGAACGAAATATAATACTGTTAACTGAATCTAGCGCCAGAGTGTCGCTATGGTAAACAAATACTAGAGTGAATTTTAAAGAATGCATTTAGATTCTATTGTGGTTTAAATGCGCTGATCGGCGAAGTAGATTTAATTCAATCAAACTAAGTTTAAATGAAATGTAAGAAAAAATGCGTATAATTTAATATTCCGTACGAGAAAGTCATGTGGTGTACACATCAGATTTTTTAAAATTAAATCTGCTCTTTCATTCACAGAGAAACGATTACACATTTTATTATGGAGGCCCCTAATAGTTGGGGCACTGTTGCCTCCTATGAAGAGTCAAACAATTTAAATCTATTCCTTCTCTGGGATTCGCAGAAGGTCCTTCAATACGACAGTCGGAATTAAGAAATGCTAAAATGAGAGAAATTGATATGGTTGTTTTTTTGTCAGAACTTCACTCTGTTATCTACTTCACAGATGTTTGGAAACAACACCCGATCGAAAATCGTCACGTCTGTACATGAAAGAAAGACGAAATAAAATTTGTGACTGTGAAATTTTACCTAAATTCTTACTCTAGGGAATCTAACAGATAATTTTAATTTCTCAAATTCAGAAAATACTTTTAGTGCTTTTATGTTGCTGCTCCATACAAATGAATCAGATTACCATATGTTAAAAATATCGATAATTATTTTCTTGCTTTGAATTTTACTGTATTCTTAAAACTAATTTAAGCATTATTTTTCAGAAATAATACAGTTCCTAGCGGAGAAATCGCCGCCGTACCTTTTTTATCTCCGTGATAATAATGGCCGTATTCCTTTAGAAATTGCTTGTAAATTTCATTGCCCAGAAGCTGTTCAGATTCTCTTGTCACAAGGCAATAGTGTATTTGGAAAAGGAGACCGACCGTTTTTAGTGAATGCTCTATATAATACCAAAAATTATGTAATGCCTAATATATCTCTGCTTTTGGACGCTGGTGCAAACGCAAGTAACGAAATCAAATTAGCCTTTTTAAATAATGAATGTTTAGTATTAATTTTTAAACAAAATATGTCTTTACCCAGATATCGCTAACTAATTTAAATTTCCATTTCTACATGTAAATTCAATGAAATCAAAGTACATATAGGCTATTTTCAACCTATGTATTTAATTACTTCTCCAGATGTATGCATAATTCTAGTTTTCTCGAACTCATTTCAGCAGCTAATGAATTCTGTTTTTAGGAGAAACTGTTGAAAGTAATGACACGAATTTCAATTGTTAAATAATATTTATTTTAATGAAATGATGTTTATCGGCCTTTTTTTAATAAGCTCTCCAGAAAACTTTCTACGGATCAAAGATTTCACAGAAACATTACAATATAATTGTGGAAACTGTGAGAATATTTCTGTTGTTATTAAATTATAAATTTTATTCTAACCTTAGGTCAATATTTATAACCTCTTAATTTCTAACGGAATTCTAGGCAAAATACAATGAAAATAAATTTTTATTCTTCACACATATATCAAGAATTATTCTTACATTACGCAATTTTGTTTTAAAATTTTCAATTTCAAATGAGAGTTACTTTTAAAATTGTTTATGCACTTTTACTGAAAACAATACAGAATGAAATTGAGAGAAGTTTGTAAACTTGGATGTTTCGTGAGATTCGATAAGAGATAACTAATTAATTAGAAAATCAAATTTTTTCACTTATGCTTTCACTGTGGTGCTGATAAATCCCGAATTTGTAATTATTTTGTTCCAGATTTAAGAAATGTAGTCTCTGTAAACATCAAATTCACAAACTCATTTCAAATTTTGTTTCATAGGAAAGTGTTTCTTCAGATTCAAAAACGTTACACCATATAAAGTTGTAGGGCTTATATTTATTTTAACTAACATTTATTTTTAAGTTTAAACTATCTTTCCTGTCAAGCCTCGACAACCACTTTCAGCTCTACCCTGTGCCTGAAAGACAAAAAGTTGCCATCGCCACATCTGCACTAAGAGGACAGGCCGCGCTATGGTGGAAGAATATAGGCAAATTTTTATTAGGGGAATTTGCAGGCCAGACATATACATTTGAAAATTTCAAAAAATCGTTATTAAAGGCCTTCCCCATAGTGAAAGATCGAGCAAGGTTAGAAGCCGAACTATGTAGTTCTATCAACGGGATATAGAAGAGTTAACGGACTTTATTCTGGGAAAAATTAAACTGACGGATATGCTGTATGGGAAGAAACCCGACGCGGAGATTATTGAAATAATCTTACCAAGATTGTTACCTGCTGTTCAAGATTACTTTGAAATTAGAAACCCAAGCACATTGCAGGAAGCTCTTCGAATTGGCGGTTCAAGTTTCAAAATCGCAGAATAGCGGAAAAAAGCTAGAGGGGCATCGTATTCTCAAAGTACCCGAAGGCAATTTGTGTTTAATCTTCAAATGAGCAGACCAGAAACGCAAACCGCTCTTATGGGGAGAAAGAGCTATCAAGCTAACTCATCGAACCTCGAAGGTCAAGGCCCAAAAAGGAAATTTGAAAACAAACGTCCGCGTACCCAGAAGGCAGAAGTTGAAAGGAAAGATTTAAACGAGTAGAGGGGCCTATGAAAGCGAGGGTCCAGACCCCGGAAGTTTTAAAAAAAACCCTCAAAAAGACACTTAAATACGGTCATCGTAAAGAACTCACATCTACCAATTATACAAGTCCTGGTTGGCGATGTACCAGTAAGCCCTCATCGATACAGGAGCAGAAGGTAATTTTATGAGCGAAACATTCTTCAAAAAGAATTTTTATAGGTTACGATTATTTAAAAACAAAAACACAGAAACTATAGCGGCGCAAGGAAAAACCTGCCACTGCATTGGGAAATTATCATTAAACATACAGGTAAAAGAGGAAAGCCTCAAAGTATTAATTTTTGTAGTGAAGAATCTGAAAAATCCTCTTATTTTAGGTATGGAGTTTTAAGGGCCGCGAGGGCCAAATTGAGTTTTCAGGACAGTTCTATTGTGCTGGAGATGGACCAGAGGGTGGTGGAACCTGTGGAACAACCGCAAGTTGACCTTAGCCATTTGAATGACCATGAAAGTCAAGCCATCCAGCAAGTGGTGAGTACTTTTTCAAACTTCGTATCGCTATGATAAACAGGAAGACATAATCATCGAAGAACATATTCAGGAAATGTTAAAGAACAAAATAATAACGCCCATAAATAGTGAGTACACGAGTCCAGTCGTACTATGTAGGAAAAAGAACAAGTTTCCTCCTTCGGATAAAAGGGCTTGGAGGTTTTGCTATCGATTACAGAAAACTGAATAGTATTACTAAATTCCCAGTTTACCCTTTGCCGGTTATAGAGGAAACTATTAGAAAGATTAAATCTACTAGATACATGACTACTTTGGACTTAACGTCTGGCTACTATCAAATAGCTATGAGACCCGAAGACATACATAAAACCGCGTTTATAACAAAATTGGGCACTTATGCATTTTTACGCATGCCCTTTGGGTTGTGTGGGGCCCCATCAACATTCCAGAGAGCTATGGACATTGCTCTAAAGCCTGTCCTAGGAAAATCAACTTTAATCTATCTAGATGATATAATTATAACGAGTAGTACGTTGGAACAACATATTAAAGATCTAGAAGAAGTGTTTAAATTATTAAAAGAGGCCGGTCTTACAATTAACGCCTCAAAATGCAAGTTCGTAACTAAAATATCTGGGTTATAAAATTTCGCGAAAGGTATAGAAACTCAAGATTCAAAAATAAAAGCCATCAAGAATTTCCCACCTCCCAACACCGCCAAGAAACTTTCTTCTTTCCTTGGGCTATGTTCTTACTATCGGTCATTCATAAAAGATTTCGCTAATATTGTTGAACCCCTGTTAGTAATTAAAAGAAAGAAAAGTAAATTCACGTGGACAGCGGAAGCAAATACCGCATTTGAAAGATTAAAAGAAGCGCTCATCAATGCCCCTGTTTTGAAATTCCCGGAGGGGGACGAAAACCTGGAAATTGCAGCAGATGCGTCGGAATATGCTGTGGGTGCAGTTCTTATGCAAAATAGCCATCCTTTGGCATTTTTTAGTAAAACGTTGAATCATACACAAAGGAATTATACAGCTACAGAGAGAGAAACATTAGCCGTATTAATGGCTGTACACAAATTTCGAGTTTATTTCGGCAAAGCGCCAGTAACAGTCTTTTCGGATCATGCGGCTGTTGGTAGACTTTACTCGGGGAAAACCCTAACGCCCAGGTTAATAAGATGGGCTTTAAAACTCCAAGAATATAATATCACAATAAAATATAAACTGGGTAAGGAAAACAATGTAGCTGACGCACTTTCTCGTATAAAACTGGACGATGAAGGTAATGAACTTAAATGCGCTGTGTTGACTTCAAAAATTTTAGATTCTAAAGATACAATTATTGCTGAACTGAAAGCTGATCCTGAATTTGGAAGTATCTATGCATATTTGAAAGACCCCGAAAGCTTTGAACATACAGATATCGATGCGATAAGAAATAGAGCAGAAACTATGAAATTATAGATAATTTATTATTTTATACGAAAACAACAAACAAAAATCTCGAGTACAAACCAGGCATCCCAGCCTCGCTTCCATTAAGCATTTTGAAGGAATTACACGACGCGAAAACAGCGGGTCATTTAGGGGTCAGAAAAACTTTAAAAAGGGTACGCGAGGCGGTATATTTCCCGCAATTATACAAAATAGTAACTGCGTATGTCAGGTCCTGCAATCAATGTCACTTAATAAATGATATTAATTACAGTCCGACCGAGTACTTAAATAGCATTCGCGCTACATTTCCGAATGAAATTTTAGGCATAGATCTTCATGGTCCTTTCCCCCAGAGTGAGTTAAAAAAAATCGTTTTCTTTTAGTAATTGTAAATCATTTTTCAAAATGGACAGAAATTGTTCCACTTAAACACGCGTCAGCCAAAACAGTCCCAGATGCATTCTTACACAGATACATTTTAAAATACGGTGCACCGATAAAAGTCATTAGCGATAACGGTAAACAATTCATTAGTCAAATATTTGAAAACATATGCACTGCACTTGGCATACGCCATATCAAAATGGTTCCGTATAGACCACAGGCAAACATAGCAGAAAGAGTTAATAAAAACATTGTAAAAATAATTCGCAGTTACGTTAGCACACATCACAAGCGCTGGGATGGCTACATAAATGAGTTAGCTTATGCTTTAAGAACGGTAAATCACGATACTACGGGGAAAACCGCAGCAGAATTATTTTTAGGCCGAAAGTTAATTACGCCTTTAGATAAATTATTCTTTGTGCAACAAAGAGAGCAAGAATTTAAACAGAAAGATGTGCAAAAACTTATTGACCAGGCGCTTAAAAGCTCGGATACAGCAAGAAATAGGCAAAAAATATATTACGATAGAAAACGCCGTGAAGCAGATTTTAAAGTTGGGGATAAAGTATTGAAGCGGAAATTTTCTTTATCAAGTGCCCCAGACAATTTTAGAGCAAAGTTAGCTCCAAAATTTGAAGGCCCCTATGTAATTCAGGAAATCAAAGGAGTCGTATTGTACCTTAAGAACGAGAGAGGGAAAATCTGTAAAGCAAGTCCAGACCAGGTCAAAAAATACTATAATCCAAATGATTTTGAAATCCTTAAAAGTTTCTTGCAGGACTCAAGCGTAAAATAAGTAGAAAGTCCAGAAATAACGTCACCCGTTCCACCACCCAAGAAGCAGAGAACTGAAGAGAGACCTAGCCCTTCTACAACGACGGTACCGAAAAGAAAAAACGAAAACTTTCAGACTCCAGCATTTAAGAAAAACAAGAACGCAAAGCCGCCGCGTAAAGAAACCTTGGTAAAGAGGAAAACACCACTTACAACGTATCGCAGTAGAAATTATACATCAAGGAGAACGCTCCCAGGGCCAGAGAGTCAGGTGCAAACAAGGCCGCCGTTCCGGAAAATAAAAAGACAGCAGGAGGAACGAAAAGTCCAGCAACTACAGAAGAAATTCAAGAATGACTCCAGACCGGAGGACGCCAAGACCAGCCGTCCAGCGAAAAACGAAAAGACAGCAACCCGACGACTACTACTCCAAGAGGCCAGCATGCAGAGGACGAAAAAGACAAATTAGCGTGGACGACACTCGGAGGTCAGTAAGGAGAAGACTGACGTCCATGAAACCTATAACGTGGGAGCAGTTCTGCCAGAAAAGAATGACGGAGCTCCAATCATCGAAAACTCAAAAATAAGTTAAAATCTTCTATAAAATTTTTTTCTTTTGTTCCGAAATGTTATGCGTAAATACGAAGTTCTATGTTTTGACGAAAGTCAATGTGTCTCGGTTGAGACTTAGTTTTGTTTTACTTATTTAGCTAAGGCAAAAGTATTATTTTCTTTCAGTATAAAATCTAAGAACAAGCAATTTCTGTTGGTTGAAAGACTAATTCTGTTATGTTAAAGCCAAAAAGATAAAAAATAACTTCGCATTCTTGTATTAATAAGAATTTTAGTTTCAGTGCCGCCACCTTGGCGAAGAATGAGTAAAGTAAAAATTTATTTTTCTCTTATTCATTTTATGGTAAATTGTAAAAATCATATGTATTAGAATTTTTTGTAAATATACGTAAATACTTGAAAGTTATGTAAAAGTAGAATTTAGTCTAGAATCATAAAATTTTAGATGCTAAAAATAAATGCTCAAAAGCAATGAATTCAAATTTAAGTATTAAACTGTAGATAAAATCATGCTTTAGAGCGAAAGCCTGCATGTCTAAAGATGAATGAGGGGGAAGTTAGAATGAATGTATTTTGTAGGGTTCTCCACCTACACTTGAATTTTAAGAATGTTAAAGTAGCTCATCCAGTTGTAGAATGTCGAGTAAGGTGTGTCTATTTGGTCGTTGAATTCTAACAAAGCATGGTGGTTAGGGGAAGTGTTGTAATACTAAAACACGAATATTCCCGTTTGACACCACACATGTTGGAGAGCCAGGGTAAAGTTAAATTAATGTTTGAATACTTGAATGAATGTGAATTAAGCAGTAACTAAGGAAAATAAATCGTTTAAAAACAAAAATTTATTCAGTGTCAAGAAAGTGTAAATTATAATGTATTTAGAAAGATACTGATACTTATTCCTTCCAGATGCTGGAAGGAAAAGACCAAGATTGATTGATGAAGTCCAGGAAAAGTTGCTGTAAGAAGAGAGAGTTATAAGTATACACATAATTTTAGTATACAATTTGTTACATAAGATTTTTTTTGTGTAAACGAGGTTCTCGAGAGTTAGTTCAGAATTATAGAAACTTGCAACAGGTCGTTTGTAGGACCTGCTTCCAAGTTTTCCAAATTCTGGCAGCGGCAAATGTAGGGTTTATATTTATTTTAACTAACATTTATTTTAAGTTTAAACTACCTTTCCTGTCAAGCCTTACTTTCCCCTGGAACTGCCAATGCCAGAGTATGTAAATTTTAGTAGAACGCGCAAGGATTCAAATTATCAGCGGAAGTATTCTGAGTTAAATAGAAAGGAAACGAGTTCGAAGTGTGCTTTCTTGCTTCACGAGTGTGGAGGTGGCTAGTTAGAAATTGAAGAATCACGCATTTCGGCCTGTGTGCTTGCCTCGGCAAATTGTTAATCTTTCAACGTGGTATTCAGAGTTTGCTAAATTATCAGCGGTATTTTAGAACGCGGTGAGGTTAGTTACGTTTAGAGAGCCTCGTAGTTAGTCACTCGTTATTATGTTTTTAGTTTCTTATTTTTATTTTACCGCCGGGTCGGCGTAGTTTGTGAGCGTCAAGAGCATGCAATTGTAATTTCCAAAGTTGAATAAAAAGGGACTTAAACCCTTCTCAAGACTCTAATTTCCAGTTTTTTCTGCAGTCACCACTTTGTTGCGTGCAGGTTGGAAGCGCGCAACTTTACAAAGTCAAAGAGGGATCAAGCTTCTTGTTAGAGAGAACTAAGTTAGTTTTATGCAAAAACGTTATTTTACTGTTTTGTTTTTAATAGGAAAAGAAAAACTCAAAATGTACCCCAATCCGTACGATTATGATTGAAAGATGTATTGAAAACCCAAATAGTAGGATAAAATGTGTGAGTCAATGTAGTGAAACATAAATTAATTTTAACAAATTAAAAGTTATAAATACTTTTGCTAGTGAAGTAGTTTGGAAACGTATGTGTAAATAGGTATGTGTTGATTATCAACATTCTGAGTTATATGAAATTATGTTAAATATTTATAGATATTTTTCAGGAAATAGGAATTGGGGCTGCAATGATCCCTCTAAATATACAGGCTAACATCTAAAGACATAAAGGCACTTTCCTTAATATAAATTTTTTATAAAATTTCTGTTTCTGGATGGTTCTTTCTGAGAGAAGAGTTATAATAACGACATGGTTGACGAAGTTTTATTTTGTTTAATTAATATCTTTATTTTGAGAGGGAAATGTTCTACGATCGCTCGTAAAATAGCTTCAAAACGACTTTTACCATGAGCTATAGTATTCTGCCGCCAAATGAACTCCGCTACGTACTTCAAATGACATCTTCTTGCATACTTATGTTTCTGCATACTTATGTTTTTCGCCTAATTTTGAAATTTTAATTAGGTTAGCTTATTTTATGGTTCACTGATAATAATTACATTCATTTCATCAAGTATTATTTACGTAATAACCTTCGCTGCAGTTTATTTGGTATTTTCTAAACTTTTGAAATTCGATAGATTTTTGTCATTTGAAAAATATTTGTCATTTTTATTCGCACACTGTTTCTTTCTTCTCTATATATTATGTATCAAAGCGGATTTCTCCATGTTCTTTATGTTGAATGCCGGAAATGTTGCCTCAGCATTTTATTTAAATCAACAGATGGCATTTTCCGCGATATTTCTTCTGCTCTTGTGTTTTTATAGCTTGCTCATAAGTAAAACTTCATTGAGATGAGAATTTTTTATATATTATTTTATGATTCATTAACTGTTTGTGATCCTTTATTTAATTATTTTATTCAAATATTTAAATTTAAATGATATTTTAATGTCCACTTTCTTTCTCAGATTGACGCTGCCGACGATTATGGGACGCCACTGATAACTGCTCTATGGAAATCTAAATGGGATTTAGAAGGTGCATTCTATTCCACTGCAAGTCAAAATGATCTATATAGAGATATTTGTATGATTTTGATAGATCGTAGATGTGATGTTAATATTCCTAATTTGATGGGTTCAACAGCTCTACATGTTGCTGCTCAATCGAGACACGAAGCGTTAGTTCGAAATCTCCTTATTTCTGGAAGTGACATTGACAGACGTGACTGGATTCACAAAACTCCATTGTACTATGCCTGTAGAAATGGAAACCAGAGAATAGTTGATTTGCTCATAATTTGCGGTGCTAATTTACGGGCCGAAGATTGGGAAACTCACTTCGAAAGGTGGAGACAGATGGACCAAATAAATGAGAAAAATAAACAGTTATTAAATTATGTTAGTCATCAATCGAAACTGTGTCTTACCTTAGAAAACCTACGCAATATAACTATAAGAAGAAAAATTAGAAATATAGAAGAAGATGCCACTCAACTGGGATTGCCCCCGTTACTGGTTAAACGTATATAACTTAAAGACTGATGTAAACTGATATATGCATAAAAAATAAGTTTATAAAATTGTATTTGATACGTTATTTCTAAATATGATTAAATGTATGAGGTATAAAATATAATAAAAAGGGAAAAAATGTATAAGTGTCCATTTGCTTTCTTCCCACAAGGAGGAGTATTTAAAATTTATTGCTTGATATTGAAAAAGTATTTTTTATATTTTTTATTCCTTATTGTACTTAAGTACTGTTCTACGTTTATAAAGTTCTATGTTTTATATTAATTAATTACTGTTCTACATTTATAACAACACAAACAAGCAACAATAATGAGTTGCATATAATGTAAGTTTAGAACAACAAAACATTACTCGAATGAAAATGTATGTCTAGATTATTATGTATACATTAATGTATATATAGATTAAATTGCTGGTAGGAATACTAGTAATATATTATGGTACTGGTCTTTATAAATAACAGCAAATTTGCTGCATACATGCTGCAATCCAAATGACAGACATTTTATCAGTAACCTCTTTGCCACTGAAAAGTATAATAGCTCTATCGATTGCTCTGATAAATAATGTACTGTTACAGTTTGAAATCTTTATTAAAGTGCTGCATGGTTAGAAATAATTCATCCACTTACAAGCCACTAGTTTATTTTCTTTTTTTATGTATGAAAATGATGATTTTAAATTAAGTATTTTATATTGAAATAGTACATGAGCATACAGAAAATATTTTAATGTCCACTTTACAGTCTATAAACAGTATACGAAAAATGGAATTTGGTATTTTTATTTTAATGCTTTTTGCATAACCATTACTTATTGAATTTTTTTTATTTTGTATTAATTTCAATAAGTTTTAAAGGAATATATTTATTTTTCTTTTTGGGGAAAGCACTCCATTTTAATTTTAGCTTTTTCCCTCTCCAAAAAATTGCTGAATATTAGTAGCTTGATACGTATTCGCGTCTTTGGGAATGGGATGGTTGCATGAGAAATTTCGTAGTTATTCCTATGTATAACATAAATATGACTTAGTTTCCCTTAAAATGTCCTCCATAAAATCATCCCTTCTTTTAGGCAGATAGCGCTCCTATGCTTTTCCATAATCTGAATAATTTTCTAATCCTTTGAATATAGGCTAAAGTTAAAGTTCAAATAGATTTGTGATTCTCATTACAACTAGTTCAGTTGTAGAATTTTTATTATGAACTCATAAAGTTTAAAAACGGAATACATTTTTTCCTGTACAATGGTTTAGTAATTCAAAAACGAAGCCTTATTAACCCCTTAAGGACCAATGCCGGGAGGCATGTAAGCAAAATGTACACTGCTAGGACAACGGCTTGAATTTGGCCAATGACAGTCCAGATGAGGGTCACCATTAACTCCGCTCACGTGAGTGATGTCATATTTCAGACGTTTCTTTACATTCTATTGCGTTCTTTGAATGTACCATTTAGTTTTTCAGAATGAAAGTGTTTATATATATGCGTATATATCTGTATATAACGATTTAATGTTTGTTTCGGAATATAAAGGACTACTCTACTGTTCCAATACAAAATTAGATCTAGTCGGATGGAAGTTACGGATAGTTGGAAGATGCATGTAAAATGCGGTTTTCAAATTATTCTGCATATTGATAATCAGAAACTTTTAACTGATAATGACTTATATCATCTAATATATAAAATGTACCTGTGGGAATTAAACCAAGTGAGGTTAATGTTATGCTAGTGAGTCCAAGTGCTAATTTTTGTCAGTAATTGATGCAGTAAATATTTTGAATCAAAATGCCACCAATAACTATTGCATGGATTAACATAGTGTGTGTCAAGGAATCCTTAAAACACATTTCATATATATCTATCTGAATATTTACAGAGTTATTAACTGTGTTTTGATTTTTTTACTGGATTTAATATGCTTTCTTAGAAATAAACTTCATTTCATTATTAGAACGTAAAGAGTATAAAGATGAAAAAGTGTGTCCACTCTAATGAACATATCGAAATGTAATTTAGCTGTGAAACTACTGAAGTTAAATGATGAACATGTTATTTAATAAGAACTGAATATATTTAAGATATGCTACCAGCTCTGATATTTCAAGACTGTTGGAATCACTATTAATGGACATTATGGTTCTGGTAAAGCATATATCATATTTGGAATTTTCATTGTTCAGTATTCATTCTTAGAAAGGAAGTTCATTCTTTTTCTAAAATGTAACGAAAATAATACTGAATAACTGTAAGTGCTTAGTGTAATATACCTACCGAAGTCTAATTTAGCGGGGAAAGTGCAGAATCGCCCACTACTTGGCGCGTTTTTATGAATTGCACTAAATCGGTATCCATGTGCACATCGACCTATTTTAGATATGTTCTTATGAATGTCCCCTTATACATCTCATGCACCCCATGTTCCTACGTAAGATGTATTTAGGCATCTGAATATATATTTATCTTCTGCACAGTCTATCTGTAGCTACCGTATGTTCTTATGTATCATGTATCTAGGCAATAGATAAAGGTGGTCGTGGCGCTATACCGATTAACCGTATTGGTAGAGGGATGGTGCCCACTTTCTCCGTCGCATGTCGCATGCCGTATGAATCAACCCATGTCAAAACAATTACCACTTAGCTCCATCTACTAGCTTTTAAAAATTCAAATATATCGTTCCGTTTTAAAGTTACGTATACGCGACGCTGGGCTGGTAGAACCAGAATCGTTGCGGCGCGTATACGGGACGCTGGGCTGATAGAAGTGAAATCGTTGCGTCGCTTATACGGGATTCTGGTCTTGAACGGGTTAATTTCCTGTTTATCATTTTGTTTATAAATGGAGGCTATTTTTAACGTATACCAGTTTTTCTTTAATTCAAAAAGAATATATGTATTCTAAAACAACGTGTAAAAGTATATTGATTACCGGAATGGAAATAAACAAGTTTGTGAGGATTTTTTGTTTGCAGTATTATTTAATATTTTACGATAAGGAAATAGAATAAATATGTAAACAAAGTAAGCAATGTTACATGCTATATAACGTAAGTGAACTTCCGAGATGGAAAATAATCAAACCAGTGGGCGTTTTTAATACTTATTTTAGAACTCAAAAGAGATTTTTGGGTTAAATAAAAAGTAAACATCAGTACAGTTACAGAAAGGAAAGACTTTCCCGTCGCGTGATGTGACTTACTTTTTCGGGATTTCCAAATAAAAGCCCTTTACCTTTTTCGTTTGCGTCTCAAGGAAAACCGCGCAAGTGGGTCTGTCCTTAACGATTCTTTTCTTAATCACTTTCCGGCCATTTCGTCGGACACCTGGGGTATGTTTCCACATTAAGGTAGGAAGTCCTTTCTTACCTCCATGTTTTCCATGAGAACAGGAAGTTCTCGAATATAAACCTGATGTTTCATGAAAACTGATGATTGTAACACCAACTTTTTCCCCGGGGGGGAGGGGGTTTGCAGAAACCCGATATCCTGCTTGATTATCTCTGCTAGAGACACATAAAGTCAGCAATAAACAACAAATATAAAACACAAATATTTACGTTATGCTGGGTGAAGTACCAAGGATAAAAATATGAATTTACATCGAGACCAGTATAAAAAGCACATAACCAAATACTAAAACTAACTTAATTACACACATAAAAAATAGAATTTTACAGTTTTCTGCAAACATGTAATATACAACATATATACTTAAACGTTATACAAATAAACACGTCTACCCAAACCGTGAAACAAGGAGACATAGAGAAATATAATCTCAAGTCGTCCGGCTTCACGCATCGGCATTTTTATTGAGTTTTCCTGAGCGATGAACAATTGTGAAATTATATGGCTGAAGAGCAAGAGCCCATCGCATTAGGCGAGGATTAGTACAGCCATTAGTTTGTAACCAAGTGAGTCCAGTATGCTCAGTTTGCACAGTAAATTCCTGTACGTCCAGATAATAATGAAGTTTCTTGATACCGAAAACGATGCTGACACATTCTTTTTCGATTGTTTTTACTTTGGAAACTTCTTGCTCAGAAAAATAATTGGATGTTCTTCTTCCTTACTAATGAGTAGAGAGTTGTGCTAGAACAACTCTCATTCCATGATCAGATACAAGCATTAGTCGATCATGTAAACTTTTGTTGCACAGTGTTGTCTGTGCTCCTTTTAAAACATCTAAAAAGAGGAGTATTATTAAGATTTTTTTTACAGTTGACAAGAAATTGAACTTAAGCATGTATTCTTTTCCACTCATACAATAAAGAGGGGTAAAGTTTCAAGCAGTGAAACAAAAAACAACACAAATACACTAAATATAAAAATTGCATGAACACAACTAAACAGAAAACTGTACAATACTTTTTGAAACATTTGTTACTATTTAAACTTATTTTAGATGTAGATAGATCAATAAATCATTTCTAAACTAAAAACATAAAATTGCTTGAAAATTTTAATTGCTTCTAAATCTCTGTTTCACATACAGTTATTATATTTATATTTGAAACGATATAGACATATTGGCTTCCTACAAAATAATTTTGTCATTCTCTCACATGAAAACCCCATTTTATATTTTGAAGTACTAAATCATCTTGTATAGGTTTTGATTTTAATGTCTTCTAAAATATAAACTTTTCCTTTCCTTCTGCATTCTTCTTTTAGCTGTGATACATAAAATGATTTTTCTTTCAGCTAACAAACTCTTCTTTTTAAAACCAGTGTTTTTTATACCCTCTATAGTGCTATTTTCATACTTTTTTTTTTTAATCTGAAACTCCTTTATTTCTAAATTTTTCCCTTTATTTGCTGTCAAGATTTTCTGATGAGGTTGATTCACTTCGTTGTTCAGATTCAATGCATTCTTCCTCTGAACTGTTATCTTTATCTCTTATTTCACTTCCGACTTCATTAAAGCATACCATTACTTTTTCTTGGAAGTCTTGATTGCTATCATGCACATTACTCTTATGACCCCTTCATTG